CCTGACGTTGTTTGGCCCCCCCCAGGCCTGTCGGGAGGAGCTGGACGCCGTCCTGGTGCTGTTCTCCTTCACCGACCGCGCGTCCTTCGAGGAGCTGCCGGCGCAGCTGAGCCGCCTCTCGGGGCACGGGCTCGTCACCGTGGTCGTGGGCACCAAGTATCCTTTTGGGGGGTCCCCACGAAGGGGGTTTGCACCCCCAGAGTCCTCCCGGGTGGGATCTCGTGTGGCTGAGAACGGGCGGCACCTCGTTACACTGATGGGGTCACGAATCCCACTGGTTTTTAGGGGGCTTGGGGGGGTCTTTGGGGTGTTGGGGTCTCCCCTGGCCCTGTATCACCCCCCCACAGGCACCCCCAGACCTCTCACCCCTTGGCATCTCAGCGGGCTGAGAACGGGCAACACTTCATTGCACTGCTGGGTTTGGTGGGGTCACAGTTCCCACCGGCTGTGGGGGATTTGGGGGGATTGTTTGGGGTGTTGGGGTCTCCCCTGTCTGTGTGTGTCCCCCCACAATGAGGTTTGCACCCCCAGATCTCTCACCTCTCCATCCCTGGGCAGGCTGAGAACGTGCAGCACTTCATTACACCCAGGGGGTCACAGCTCCGGCTGATTTTTAGGGGGCTTTGCCCCCCTACGGGTGGGTTGTGGGGTGTTGGGGTCTCCCTTGGCCGTGGGTGTCCCCCCGAGTGGATTTGCACCCCCAGATTTCACACCAGTTGGTGTCTCAGCGGGCTGAGAACAGGAACACTTCGTTACACTGATGGATTGGCAACTCCCACTGATTTTCAGGGGATCTGGGGGGATATTTTGGGGTGTTGGTGTCACCCTTGGCCCTGCGTCCCCATCTGCACCCCAACATTTCACCCCACTCCATCCCTGGGCAGGCTGAGAATGGGCAACACTTCATTACATGGCTGAACTCCTTGAGTTCACGGCATCCACTGATTTTTAGGGAGTTTTGGGAGGATTTTTTGGGGTGTTGGTGTCACCCGTGACCCCGTGTCCCCCCCCAGGGCAGGTTTGCACCCCCAGATTTCTCCCCACTCAGTCCCCCCTGCGGCAGAGCCCGTTCACAGCTCACTGCACTGATGGATTCCCAGCTCCCCCCGATTTTTAGGGAGTTTTGGGAGGATTTTTGGGGTGTTGGTGTCACCCGTGACCTCGTGTCCCCCTCCAGGGCAGGTTTGCCCCATCCCGTCTCCCCCCTGCAGAGCCCGTTCCCAGCTCGTCGCACCGATGGATCCGCAGCTCCCGCGGGGTTTGGGGGGTTT